TTGATTTAACTGGCGACGACATATTTATTAAACAAATATTTAGAATCTAGTTAGGTTAAGCAACCATATTACAATAGATATAGAAGGAAGTTGCATCGTGGGTTACCTATAAGTGCTCCTTTTTACCACTTTCCAAATCTGGGTAGGTTCTTATCCTACATTCTGAGTCAACCCACTTAGACATAAGTCATTTAAGCTGAACAACCTCTTGATGAAATGTTTGATGATATTCGACAACATCAGGATGTTTATGTCCATCAACATATACACATTTTTTGTACTGCTGGTAATGGAATCCAAGTTTGTGCATCCATCTTCAGGCAGTATGAACCGAAATGTGTTGCACAGACTTAATGTTCAACTGAGAAAGAATAGTTTGTTCAAAATAGTTCTTAACTATAATGGGATCTATATTGAACTTCTGGAAGTGTAGATAAGTAGCCAACTCAAAGGAAACTAACTCGTCATGAAGCAAGCTTTTTGAGGGGGATCTTCCTCAGAGGTCTGGTTGGATTAATTTTTTCTTCATGCAGATATTTGCCCACTTTCTTACACACTTAGCAAGCCATGGCCCACCATTAATCACATCGGAAATCGCTTTAGCTGCATCCATTTTTTTTTGACCTTTTAGAAGCAATCTATAGAAGTAGATCACTGCTGTGTAACATGCCTCTTTGGTTTTGAAAAGTGTTTCTTCACTCATTACATTGTCAATGAACTCAATTGCGCTATGGATTTTTTTTGTTTCTTCATCCAATTCTTCACTCAAGTTTCCATTCAATTCTTTATTCAAGTTTTCCTCATCCTATTAATTAACATACTTACCCCTATGCCAAATACTAATTTTTCTCAATATAGCTTTCTTACCTGATATTCTTGACTTTGAAAGTCTTCAGCATCTTCTTCGTAATCGGTAGTTGAAAGTTGATTGTTAAAAAAATATGAAATTTTTAAACTTCCTCTTACTGCTTTCCTAAATGCTTTATTTTTTATTGTCATATTCATTTAGAATTTCTAATATACACATAAGGATGCTTTTTTTTTATGATACCTACTACCAAAGCAGCAAAAAGTCACTCGATAATTGAATTCACTTGGTTATGGTCATTTAGCTCAAAATTCTCATCTGAACTTTCATCAGAATTACTACTGGAATCAACATATTCTTTATTTGAATCAAGGTCAACATAATTTGCAAGCGCAGAATGAGCTACCTCAGCTCTTTCTTTCTGTAGTTTTTTAATGTTTGCAAGTTTGGGCATTTTAATAAGAGATAATCATAGTGTTTTACAAATTTTTTTTTGTTCAGTTTCTCATTTTTATGTTGCGCTTTTATTGTATCAAGTTCATAGAAAAAAAACTGATAATCTAAAGTCTATGGTGAGTAACAATTACTATAAAACAGGACTGGGATCAATATTTTATATTCATTATTCAAAATTGACTGGTATGTGGGATGAAAGATCCAACTTTCTCTTACAATTGCTTGCCTATTTTATATAGGACCAATTCACTTGATTTACTTGACGATAGGAAAATTATGATTTTCAAATATATTAAGTTACACCTTTGCCTTCTGTGTAACATCGCATGGACAAAATAACACTAGTACATACGCACGTACATACGTACACCTGGTTTCTTTAACCTCACACAATAGAAGATATATAAGTACGTATGTACATGCGTATTAGTATGTTTGCTTGATTTTTCTTTTTGAATATGAGGCTAACCTTTATTATATTTCCTTTATATACTCCCATTGTCATTATCAAACTTGATTTAACTTCGTCACTATATCATTATTTTTATGATACACATGATCATAATCATTAATAAATGTATTGTTTGTCGATTGATTATAAGTGTATTATCTATGCTATAAGAGATCCCATGATAGTAATTCATATGTATAATCGTTGTACACTTTATTTTGTATAGTTTCTTCTATGTACTGTAACAAATATCTTGTATATTTTTTTATGCACTAGGATTGTGTTATGAAAGTTAATATATATGTTTAATTTGGTTAATATATACACTTATTATTATGATTTATTTTAATATTAGCCAATAAAATTTTACGCATGTGATCACGAATCGATTTGATTGGCTGATTTAGGTTGCACCAAATTTCTGCCTTACTATAAAAGTTAGCAAACTTTAATTCATTATAACTTTTTTAAAACATAAAATTTTAAAAATTTGTTTTACAGATTTATAGTTTAAATTATATTTTATAAATTTGTAAAAGGATTTTTTGGGATGCAAATCACTAACTCTTTCCGATGATCACTTGTACCAAATTTCTGCTGCAAACATTTGTCTCTTACTCAATATTTTA